TTAGGGAGTAAGAACTGTGGTCAAATCGACGGTAAAAAGAAAAGTGACAACAAATGAGCATTTTCAAAGAATTTGGCAATTTCTGAGCATATTTTTCCGAGGCTTTTATCAATTTTAACAGGACAATGATCAGAAATATCCTCCGAAACTGGGGCCAAATAGGTATAAATTCCAAGTTTTTATAATCATGGAGCGACCTGCGTAAAGCCCAGAGTTGATTCGACAGAAAACTTATGGAATTGTTTGAAAATGCCACTGGTCAAGTACGAAAATTCGCCCAATCGCATGCAAAACCTTGGGCATGGCGTTGAGGAAATCCGATGCGCGTTCTCAACAGATTTCGTCTAAAACCTGTGCGATAGTATCCCAAGATGACCATAAAAGCTAAAATATTCAAATTGGTTATGGCCAACTTATTAAAAGTCATGCAAATGGTAAAATTTTCTGTCGGGTGAAAAACTGGAACAATCTAGTTGCTACGTTTTTTTGCAATTTTATTCTTTATCTGCTTGTATTAATTATTGTTTTTAATGCCTTCTGATGAAATAAATATTGGAAATGTGAATTCCGAAACTAGATTACAAAAAAGTCTTCATATATTGCGAATATATTGCAAGAAAATTCACATTATGTATTACTGTTCCGGTTTTGCTCCTCAGTGTATATGGTTTTTTTTCTGTGTGAAAAAGTGGTGGAGAAGACTATTATTTTTATATTTTGACCAACATTTACCCTTAAAAATTATTTTTAAATGAATAAAACCTACGTTCTTTAAGTTTTTAATAACAATGAAAATTACGGTTGAATTGTCAAAATCGGTCAATTAGATCGTTTGTAATTGAATTTTAAAGTAGAATGGACAAAAAACAAATCTTGTCGATATATAAGAAAAAATATATTTTTTTGTTTGCATTGTCAATAGGTATGAAAAAATACCACTGATAATTGGAAATAAAATATCACATAATTGAAATGGCCCGTTTCAGAAATTCTGACTCATATATCAATTCTGAATAAATATTGACGAGTTTTATAGCCACTCTGCTCAAAATATCTGAAAGTTCATACTTACATACATAAAAATTCAAGGTCGTATTAAAGAAAAGTCGCCTAACTTCCACAATTTTTGCGCGATTGAAATAGATAGCTCATAATCAGTTTATAATTTAATTTTAGATGTACTACATATTTTGAAATTGTGGAAATAAGTGATGGTCAAAAAATAAGAAATTTTTTTTTTTTTGCCCGATGAAAACTCCCAACAATCCAAGTCTGACAATAGACTCGCGACCTTTAAATGGTTTTTAAAAAATCTAAAAAATAGGAAAGTAGCAGTAGGGTCTTGAAATTAAAAAAAAAAAAATCGATGGGCACCCACAATAAATTCATGGCGGTATTTTTATTTAAATTGCCTAACAGCCACTAATTTTTTTTTTATTAGAAGCAGCAATTAATTTAATTTTTCACGTTGAAAAACGATGAGAATTTTGTTAGTTTTTATTGTATCGTGAATGTGTTGAATGTCGATTTCTTGCTGAGTGGTTTTTAGGACCAGTCCCTTTCAGTTATAAAGTTATCTATGGCTGTCTATCAGGCCATCTCTGGCAAATAAAAGTCCACTAATCGAGAAGAAAAGTCTTGAACAATTTGCCCGTGTTCTGATAGCGTATACCTCTTCATTTTGAAACACAATAAATTTCATAACTGCCACCCGTAAAATGTAAAAAAAACACAATTATATTCACCGCCAACTGAAAAAACGTCTTCAAATAGGGTGATACCTTTTCGCCACTTTGCACATATTTGGCAACTTTCATAAACATTTTTTAAATTAGCGATGGTCAAAGTTGGAAAAATTGGATGTTTTTTCTAATTTACCCGATGAAAACTCTCAACTATTTATGTTTAAAAACAGCTTTTTATGACTTTCCAAAACATATGTAATTGATTTTGAGAATTGGTTGACAAATAGTCAATCAGTTAATAGATAATTGCATCAAGTATTTCTGTGCTTTTATATGTTAATAACGAGCTGTCATTAAACAAATATGATAATAACCCTCTTCATTTACATAATTAGCTTCCATGTAAATTTTAATTGTAGATTTCAAAAAGGAATGATCCAAGATTTTACACTTCCAATCAGTCAACAAAAATTACTAACATATGTACATCAATTATAGATTGTAATTTAAAGCCTGCGAAATATAAGAAAAATTGGGCAATAGTACAACGTAAATGGTTAATACGGCGATGCAGCAGAGGCCCAGCAAACACAGTCTCTAACGTTAGAGAATACATTACATACATTATATAACTAGGGTATTTCTCTAATCGTTCTCGAGTCGATGACGGAAGTTAGAGAACTATATTAGAATTCGATTCGAGAACGATTAGAGAAACAACCCAAATTCAAATTAATGTAAATAAGCAATATTCTAAATGAATGAATCATAATTTTTTTTTTATGTTCAAATAATTCATTATTATTTTATTGCAAATACATTTAATAAATATTTTACAAACAAAGCGTTTTATTTAGTAAAACACAATAGCAGTTTGAAATTCAAATTCGAATCCCATTAGAGATCAACATTAGAATTCGATTAGATAATTAATATTTTCTCGAGTCAAGAACTATGTCCCATTTTTGTTGAGATCGATATGATTCTCGATAGTTTTTCGAGTCGATCGCAAACGTTTGAGATTGGAGAATGTGGCTAGTTCTCCAATCATTACTAATCGATAACTAACCTCAATGTTTGCTGGGGGNTTTCGAGTCGATCGCAAACGTTTGAGATTGGAGAATGTGGCTAGTTCTCCAATCATTACTAATCGATAACTAACCTCAATGTTTGCTGGTGGCAAAGTAATAACGCTTGTGTGCATAAGATCTAAAAGGTAAACAAACTATTATTTCATGTATTTTACTTACCGCAACATTAAAAATTTAGCTTGCATGGCCAAGTGCAAAGCTTTTGGCATACTGTCATTATTTGACTCCAGAGCAGGTGGCAGCGCCTTGGCTCGTTCATATGATTCCTTTGCCTTTAGATCTTCGCCTAATAACCAAAACACAGAAACTTCAAGAACATTGGCCCACCACTCAATTTTCTCATTATTTTGTGCTGCACGAAATGAATCTCGTAGCAGAGTAATAAATGTCATTGCATTACTAGCCATTGTATCATCTCCGTATCGATTGCTCATTTCACATACTTTAATGCTAGCTTTTTTTTGCTCACAAATTTTGCTTTTGTAACCCACTAAACATTGAATAGCTTGATGGAGCAAATGCTTTTGATAACTCTATAATGATTGTGATTAATAGATATACATATCGATAGAGGAATATGTACTTACTTTCAGTAAATTCGATAACGGATCTATAGACATCGGGAATTCTACAAAAACATTTTCATCTGTTTTGCTTAGATGAATATCATGCTCAAATATATACTGTAATCCGAAAGAAGTAAATATCCAATTATGTTTCTTCACATCCTCATCGTACTTAAACCATTCCTTTTTTGCCTTTTTAATCCAGTATCGTATAAAAAACTTTAACAACTTCGAATAGTTTTCTTTTACACGTAATGCCGATGTTAAGTAGATTGTGACCAACTCCTCGTAGGTAAGAGCGCTGTAGGCTGCCAGTGTCATATCTAAGGCATACAATGATATAGTCAGGCCATTTTCCTGAATTCTTTTGCTTGTAAAATGCAACTGGTTAAGTCTATTGAAAAATAGCGCTAAATGTCTGGCGGACATAATCTTATTTTCACCCTGAGTTTTTAAAGTAATATCTGTATCATATTTATGTAATATTTTACCACCGGTAATTAGACGGTAACTGAATAGGCGCATTAATTGCCATGTACTTAAGAGCAGAAATTCAGGAGTACCGGTTGGTATCATGATTCCAAGACCTTTTAAGCATGATAAATATTCTGAATAAGCACCTTCCACGTCGCCCTAAATTTAACGTATAATTAATTAATGTTAATGATTATCTGAATTTGTATTTTACCTTATTAAACAATTCATCTCCATATTCTTTTCGTTTCCAAAAGTCAGCAGGAATGGGGCCTCGTAATGGATCCACATATCTTACAATTTTTATCAAGCAGGCCAAAACAATAAAAGAGTTAATTATCCACAAAGATATGGAGTAGCAGATGTTTTGGAGCATAAAAAAATTGTTGACATCTATATTAATAAAAAAGAAGATATTTCTCATACAGTAATGTTAATAAAGGCATATCAATTTTGCAAAAATATAAACCACTTAGAATTGAAGTGAATTCGAGAGTTTGTGTTATTCGCATTTTATTCTACAACCAGTTTTCTGGTTATTCGGAAAATGTTATGAACGAAATATTGATACGTGTGTTCTATGATACATCCTCAAACCGAAATTCAAAACCTAATCTACGGCGCACTGTGAGAAATGAGCAGAATTCCAAAATTCAAATAGTCTAGAATTTTAAGGATGCGAATCAACTTAAAAAATTAATACTGAAACCTTCCCACATACCATTAATATATGACTTACTACAAACAATCTACAAAGATTTTGGTAAATATTTAATTAGTTCGATAACCATTCCATTAAAAAATGTTAAACATTACGCCCAAATTCATAAAAAATAAAGAAAACTTTAACTGCTTTATAAATCGAAAATTTGTACGAAAATGTCACTCTATCATGATATAAAAATTAAGGTAGTTTCATTACTACTATTTTTTGATTATAAAGCAGATTTTTGACATTTCCCCAGATGTAAACATTAAGCATAGCTTTGCCACATTAAAATTTTTTGAGGGGAGATTTTCTTTTAAATATTTGAGATTTAATAAACAGTAAAATTATATAAAAAATAGCAAATTGATGTGTTCGATAATCAAATTAGAATGCTTTTCTCAAGAGATTAATGGATCCTTTGAATAATATCGGTTTGCAGAGATAAAGAAATAAAATAAAATCCAGTTTTGAAACGTTTATTTATTAAATTATTTTCTTTCATTTTATTTTACATAAAATAAATATATTTACAGAACAAAACTCCTTTTTTAATAGTCCGAAAAAGACGCATTGTTAGATTTTTCGTCATTAAAGCACAGTGCGAAACCAGGCTTCGGAGAAGGTTGAATGGTCTCATTCCCCCCACAATTAAAGGAGCCAAAATTCAGAATTCTCCCGAAGTGAAGTATCTAGAAGTAATTCTGTATACAAAACTATCGTGGAAATCTAATGTGGTACACAAAACCTCTAAAGAATTGACAGCATTTTGGCAATGTAAACCCGTATGGTGGCGTTACGTGTTTTATAGAGCTGAATTTAAAAGGCTCAATAAATCTTTGTATTAAATATTAGTATTAAATCTAATCCCAAGTTCTTCTGGAGTTATATTAAATCAAAGAAAAATTGCTCTAATATACCTGCATCGGTCCAGCTTAAGGGGGTGTCAGCCAACTCCATCTCCGAAGCTGTTAATCTTTTTGCTGATTTTTTTTCTTCCAATTTTATTTCAGGTAATTCTGATAATGATTTTATTCCTGAAGATCTTTTGACAAATTTAGATACTCCCATTAACTTCGGGAAATTAAAGTTGACAGACGAGGGGGTAGCTAATGGCATTAACCAGCTTAAACTATCCACTAACACTGATGTACATGGCCTCTCGGTTATTTTATTTAAAAGTTGTCCTTCACTAAAGCGTGTATACAAAAAAATTTGGTCGACAAAAACATTTATTAAATCCACATTTCTACAGTTATCGAGGAAGCTTTTACATATTTAAGAAGCTTAGAATAAGCTGTTGATAAAAAGTACAAGGTTTGTTTATTTATTCATATCATATGCGAAAGATCGGACTTTTGAGTTAATACCACTCATTAGGCGCTGCACATCATTATGAGTGATTTCAGACGATACCTTAATCCGTTTTGATCGAAGGTCTTCCTTGGTTTTGGCAATTTTCTTTGTTTTTAGAAGTTTAATTTTCATTAAAGCCCAATACTTTTCAATTGGTCTTAGTTCGGGGGCAATTCGTTGGGTTGGCTTCTTTCGGTACAAGATGAATATTTTTCTCTTCATACCAGTTCTTGGCCAAATTTCCACAATGACAACTTGCCAAATCTGGCCAAAAGAGCGCAGAGTCCGTGCGACGCTGTACCAATGGCAGAAGTCGTTTCTGCATACACTCTTTGACGTAAATTTGTTGATTTATTGTCCCAGAAGTTACAAAAACGTTGCTTCGCAAACCACATTTACAAATCGCTTGCCAAATCAAAAATTTCTTTGCAAACTTATCCACTTTTTTTCCTTAAACTTAAGTGCAACATCGCCTCTGCCCTTAGCCGTATAGAAACTCTGACCTGGAAGCTGATTGAAGTCCGCTTTAACGTAGGTTTCATCGTCCATGATTATGCAGACGAAATCGTGAACATAGTTATCGTACAACTTTCGCGCTCGTGTTTGGGTGGTGGTATTTTGTTTGTTGTTTCTGTTTGGCGATAAGGGGACTTTATATTATTGCAAACCTCTCTTCTTCCGAACTTTTTGAACGTATCCTTGCGACATGTTAACTTTTTTAGCTACATCTCTGATAGAGTCCAGGATTTTTCTTAAAAATACGTACCACTTCATTGGCCTTTTTTTAAGTAAATCCTATTTTTCGGCCACTTCCCAATTTTCTTTCTGTACTTAAACGTTCGTTAAACTGGTTGAGCACATAAATTACAGACTTAGGAACTTTCAATGATTTCGCGATATCATTGCAAGAAAAATTTGGATTTTCTCCTTTTTTGCGCACAATTAATTTGCGTACTTCTGCTTTCGTATAGCTCATTTTGAGAACTATTACAAATTCCGTAAAACAAGTAATGACTTAATTAAGAGTATTAAGTTGGCTAACTGCGATACGTATTTTTTCTGGGCTACTGTTATTTATGTCGCGACAGTACGAGTATTTGTGCGACCAAAATTTTTCGTATACACCCTTTAATTGCGACTTTGAGGCACATTTTTAACATGTCTCTATCTGCCGGGGTTTTCCTCGATGACTGGAAATTGACTTTTATGCCGCCAATTCTTAAAAGTGGTAATACAAATTGTATTGAGAATTATAGGCCGCTTTCTAAGCTTACCACTGTCTCAAAACTGTTTGAGTCCGTAGTTAAAGATAAAATTTACTTTGCTGTTAAACATTTATTATGTCCCAACCAACATGGGTTCGTGCCGGGTAGGTCTACGTTAACCAATTTAGCTGCTTTTACAGAGGACTGTTTGGAAGCCTTTCATAAGGGATTCCAAATTGACGCTATATATACCGATTTCTCTAAGGCTTTTGACAGGGTGCCTCATCGAATATTGATAGCTAAACTTGAAGGCCTGGGCTTTCATTCAGAGTTTCTGAAGTGGATCACATACTATCTGTATAATAGACGCTGTGTTGTTCGTTTTGACAATGTATCGTCTTATTCTTTTGTCCCTCCTCTGGTGTTCCCCAGGGTAGTGTCTTAGGTCCGTTATTATTCGTTATCTTTATTAATGATATATATTCCTGTTTCTCAAAGTGTAAGATTCTTCTATATGCGGATGACCTGAAGATATACTATGAAATTAAAAATATAGAAGACTCATTGATTCTCCAGGGTGAGCTTGATAATCTGTACTGTTGGTGTGCGCGTAATCGTCTGTACCTCAATATTGGTAAATGTCATTATACCTCTTTTGCAAAAGTGATTAGTATTGTTCCAACCTCTTACCGTTTTTCGAATGTCCCGCTAAAATCAATTACTGATTTTAAAGACTTGGGTGTTTATTTTGACTCCAAGCTCACCTTCACCACCCACATAAACTTTATTGTTTCTAAATCATTCGCGATGTTGGCCTTTATTCGTCGCAACTGCTCGTCAGTTTCCTATCCTTATACTCTCAAACTGTTGTATTCGTCTTTAGTTCGGCCGAGGTTAGAATACGCTGTATTTGTTTGGAGACCTTTTCATGTGAACAGATTGGAGTCTGTTCAGAGGGCTTTTATACGCTTTGCTTTGCGTCCGTTGAAATTTGTAGACCCTATTCCGTCCTATCGTTCTCGTTGTTTGTTGATAAATCTCATGTCCTTAGAGTCCAGGCGTACTCTGTTATCGATGTGCTTTGTCTTTGACATAATTGCAGGCTCTACAGATTGCTCGCACCTCCTTAGGAAAATTCGTTTTAATGGTCCCTCACGTATTCTTCGTTGTAATGAATTGTTTTTTGTGGGTGTTGTTAAAACTGTTTATGGTATGAATGCGCCTTTAAGGAGGACTCTCTCCCAGTTTAATGCTTATTCTTCATCTTTAGACTTCGATTTTTCTTACTCAAAGTTTACTTTACAGAATTTGCTCATAAGGCACGTGTCATAAGGGTTTCCCTTATGCTATGTATATATTTGTCATATTGTCTGTAAGCGTCCTGTTCATTGATAATAATAATTAATAAATAAACGACATATTCGTGCTATTATGCAGATGATGATAAAACATAAGTTCACGTTTTTGGTGTTACCTTATAACAAGAGAACGGATTCACTGAATCCAACAAAATCTATATGGCATATTAGGGCTGTCATGTAAATGATTTATGTGAAGTTTTTCCGAATTCGGAAAAGGTAGCACCTCTAACGTTATATGTGACCTGGTCTACGGAAAGGGGGCTTAGGTGTCAAAAAATCAATTTTCACTTTTTGGTTGATTCGGATGGAAGATGAGATGCTTTTTCACGTGGTGAAAAGCAGAAAATCCTAACTTGCTTAGAAGTGTACTAAAAATGTAGAGAAAGAAGAGTAAAAATACGACAAAATATAATTTATTGGTAATGAACAAAATACATTGAATTATAAGCTATAAAGACATGATTATACACTAGAAAAACGTATTATGGGCCAAAAATAATAATGCTGAGTAGTTTATGTATTTTTCTTTGTTGTCGTTTTCCTTGAGATCTTTTTACTTGTTGATCCTGAGGAAGATGGACCTGGTTCCTCGTCTGGTTTGAGAACATATTCACTAGTTTTTACCTTCCGTTTCTTCGATGGCAAATCTTTCGGCAATGGAGCCACAATATCTACTTTAGATATATCCGAAACTAAGCTGCGAAGATTGTGATAGATGTACCACTGACGTTCCAAAGATAAACCGGCTGGTTGTATAACTTTCGG